CATACAGAGTGAATGACAGGACTGAAATTTGAATCTAGTTCTTCAAAGTCCAAAGCCAAAATCTTTGCATGTACACCAAGTTTGGCATTTTTGACACATTAGACTGTCCTCTGCAATGGAGGTTGCTTAGCAGCATCTCTGGCCTCTACTCTCTAAATGCTAGTAGTACTCCCCTCCTCGAGTTATGACAACCAGAAATGTCTCCAGATGTTGCAAATATCCCCTGAGGGACAAAATTATTCCTAGGTAATAACTGTTGGTTTATACTGTGGTACCTCACCTCTAAATTTTTAATTTAAACATATTTATCCAATTAAAGCAACATATATAAAACACTTGATGGAGCAATTACTGTAAATAAATGAAGCATGAGCAGAAGAATAAGTGCACACTGTAGGATGATGAGTAAAGTGACTCATGAAGGACTTAAGTTAATACCTGATCATGGAGACAAAAGAGGAAGCCAGGAAAAGTAGCTTCAACACTTGGTATAAATGGAAAAGTACTAGTTGCAGGAATAAGCTGAATCCATGTATGACATTACAATTGAGAGAAAGAGAGTTCAGCCAGCAGGAAAGCAGATAAGCGCAGGAGAACATAAATATCTGCAAGCAAAACATAAAAGTGGGTCATAAGCTTGATAATTCCAAGAAAGTTTAAGCTGAGGCAGTTCAGAGAGTCAGGGACTAGGAAAATAGGACCATGGACTTGAGGGAGTTGATACCAAGACGGAAACCACTCCAGAAAGGAAATCTGTTACATGCTGCTTACTAGTATAGTGCCCATCAAAGGGTATTTTCTACCCCAGCCTGCGGTTGGACTCTACGTGGTGAGCAGCATAAGAGACAATGTACCGTCTCATTTGATATGGATTTAGAATTATAATATGAAAGATTACCAAGTAAAAATATTTTCAAAGTCTCACTTTCTATAATAACAAAAATTAAATAAAAGAATTACATAATTTGAAAGCTGTAAGAGTGAATGGAAACCTTGCGTATGGTATTACCTCATTAATTTCATGATAAACCTAAATAATTACCATTCTTTGTCAATATTGTGTGAACCACAGGCTTTGGACCTTCTGAGAGTGATTTAATGACTCTTTTCTGCTGTTGTTTTATCATTCTTACTATAACTTCAAATATTTTCCAATACAACGTCATTTAAGACCAATAAATTGTAATGCTGCTGCCATGCTAAAAATGCATCTGAAAATCAGTAACTTTGAAAAGAGGTTAAATGTGATTTGACTCTATGAAGAAAGCTAAACAAGGTGGCCCTAGGGAAGAGCACTATCAAGGAAAAAACAGCACTAAAACAAAAATAAGCTATAAATGGTATAGATTTGTATATGCTAGGAATCTATCCCCTCTGCTTCATCTTTATTCTGATAAGAAAGTGTCCTTAGAAATATAAGCATTTTGATTTATTGAAGTTATTAAGGAGTGTATCCCCATTTTTAAAAATTGCCCTTTGTAAATAGAGTGTTAATATGGTGGAATTGGGAAATAGATCACAAGATGAAACTGAAAAAAACTACAAATTATTATAAGTTCTAAGAAGAAAAAGAGTAGGGTCATTGAGACAGAGTAACAAAGAAGGAACACCAAAATTTAGATTGAAGAGTCATAAAAGGTGTATCTGAGTACACTTTTCTCAGTATTCATGCTGAGACCAAATGAATAAGTAGAAGTTTGTCAGGGAGAGGGGAGAAAGACATTACAAACAAATGCCTCAAGCAGGAAAAAGCTTGATGTACTTGAGAAACAATGTCTGGCTAGAAGATGAGGAAGCAGAGAGAACAGATGATACAGGGCTCCATGGCTCATGGCCCCCTGGGAGAAGTGTTTCACGTTTCAGCTCAGGGAGGAAGACTGTGGGTTGAGATTCTGGTTCTGTTAGATATGTGAGATTAATTAAATTACTTCCCTCTCTTTGCTTCAATTTCATCATCTGTAAAAAAACTAATATTGATAGGACTTCTCTCATAGGTTGTTGTGAGGTTTAGTGAGTTAAAATAGGCAATTTGTTGTTATTATTTTTAGAGACTTATTCTGAGTGCAATGAGATGCCACTGCAGGATTTTAAGTGACATTATCTAATTTATTGTTTTAAAACATCATTCCAGCTGCTGCTTCTGTTTGAGAAAGTCTTGGTGGAGATTTAAAGGTTTCCAAGGCATTTTGAATGATGAGTAGCTTTTGAGCTTGAGAGTTAAGGATCCCAGTCACAGGTCCAACTGAGAGAAAAATGAGATATAAATTTGAAAAAAATTAAAGGATCGAAGACTAGGAAATGATGAATGATTAGAGAATTAAATTGGGATACCATGGTTTTAATAAAGATGATATTTTAGAAACTGAATCATTGATTCTTCATATTTAATTGGCTAGAGTATACTGCATAGTGTTATGGACATCGTAGACAAATGCAGAATTCCCAAACGAAGCTGCCCACTGTGAACTTTAAATGAGACCATATACATAAGGGTAAAATATAAAGGCTAAGATATTTTTTAAATAGGACACAAAAAACAGTGCCATTAAAAAACAATGACTAATTGGACTTCATTCAAATTAAGAACTTAAATTCATCAAAAGGCAATATTAAGAGAATGAAATTGCACTGTACCTCTATTAGAATGGGTATAGTTTACCAGTAGGGAAAATACTCTAAAGGAGAATGTAGAGCGATTGCAACTCCCATATATTGCTGGTGAGAGTGTAAATTGGTAGGACCACTTTGGGAAACTCTGTGCAGCATCTACTTAATGTGAACATACATACACCCTATAGAGCAATTCTTACTTCAGAAAGGAGTACTCACGTCAATTATATCTCAATAAAGTGGGGTGGGGGGGAAATGAGTACTTAGGTCCATCAAAAGATAATGTACAAGAATATTAATAGCAACAATAGTGGAATGATTAAATAAATTGTGGTATATTTATATAACAGAATACTTGATAGCAATAAAAAACAGTGAACTGCATCCAACAGTAGGACGAATCTCGTAAGCCTTTAAGTAAAATATGCCAGACCAAAAGTTCAAAAACAGACAATACTGATCTTTTTTTTTAAAGATTTGATTTACTTATTTGACAAAGAGAGACACAGCGAGAGAGGAAACACAAGCAGGGGGAGTGGGAGAGGGAGAAGCAAGCTTCCTGCAGAGTGGAGAGCCCGATGCGGAGCTTGATCCCAGGATGCTGGGATCATGACCTGAGCGAAGGCAGACGCTTACAGACTGAGCCACCCAGGCGCCCCCAGACAATACTAATCTTAATAGAGGTTGAATAAGTGATTACTTTGGGAAAGGGGAATTAACTGGAAGGGAACAGAGGGGAATCTTCTGCATTTATTACATGTTTTCTTTACATTTTGTCAAGCTGAATACTTTGGATTTGTGCACTCTCTGTAATTTAAAATGTAATTAGCAATTAAAATGTAAGTAATAACCTTTTAAGTGTAAAGAACATAAAGAGTCTTGTCTTTTTAAAGGTTTTTTGTTTTGTTTTTCATTTCTTTCTTTCTTGGATCTTTCAAGTAGCCAAAGAGGGTGGATTGAAGGAAACGAACATGGAATAAGAGGAATCAGAAAGTGTGAAAGAACATAGAATAGGAAAATGGGCAGGAGATGGGAGCCTTTAGGCATATGGATTGGTAGAAAGAACTAAAAATGAAAGAAGGGTTAGATAAACAAGATGAAAACCATAAAGAAGGATACTTCTTTGCACTCTACAAATATGGCACTAAACACCATTCTTATTTCTTTGTAATAATTAATTGACCACAGTTTAGTAGCAGTCTTTCTTCTTAAGAACTAATTTGAATCTTGAAATGATTTCTTTTGGTATGCTGACTATCCCTGTTTCATGTCCTTCTTATTTCTGTGTGACACCTTCTACAAAGTGAGCACACTGGAGAGATCTATAGGTTACTTAAACAAAAAGAAGAAATGTATAATTACTTTGGTTTAAACAGTTTTAAATAAAGTATCAGACTAGATATTCGGCCAGTGCTAAAGTTCCCTGACTAGCTTTTTGAAGCTTTCAGAATTATATTACTTTCTTTCACATCATTAATCTGTATTATATAGTTAGGTTGTTTTACTTACAAGTCTCCCATTGACATTTCTTTTGTATGCATATACTGAAATGATTTTATTTAATAAAAAAAGAACATCTCCTGTGTGGATTTTAAATTTCCCTTATTAAATATTTATATTTTCAAAATGTCTTTATTTAATTGAGTGAGGTGCTTGGTGCCATTTCAAAATAACCTCAGGTGGTAGGTGTAATGACATATCAAAGATTTGACCTTTAGCATTTTAGGGTTCTATTTGTCTGCATTTTCTTCTGCATTCATTTGGTCTTAATTTATATGCTATTTCTCTGTATGACTTAATGAGTGGATATATTTGGCATGAGATTCATTAACAAAAAGAAAAGATCTGAATACATATTATTTCTGTGCAGTCGGACTAGTGATTTTAACTTCATTTATATCTGTGTATGGGCTGATCAGTTATTCGTACAGCCCTTACTCATTCTCATTAAGCGCTCAGCTGAAGAAACCCTGAATCTACTAAACGGATGCCCGTTCTCTTTACTTCTCACTTCTCTGCAGTCAGCTTATTATATTCTTTTATTTACCTAGAGATGCTTTATTTTCCAATTCTCCGCTATTCCTTTTAAAGAAAATTGAATGTAGTATTTATACTGATGTAATTATATTAACATCTTGCAGCATCTTCTTGTATGCTTTGGTAACATCAATAATCGTTTGTCTGGGTAGCTTTCAGCCTAGAAGCAGAGAAGTAGAATAATTATCAAGAATAATATTGTGATATAAAAATTATTTTTATTTACCCATTTAAGTATGTCTTAATTGATTTTTAGAAATGGTTATTTCTTATGGAGATTTTTGTTAAATAGATTATTGGTCAGGAAGACTACATATTTATGTTTCAATTATTTATTTTTATGTTTTTCTCAGTTTACACAAATCTTTATCCCAAGAAGAAAATCTGAAGGATCAGTTTAACCATACCCTTAGTACTTATGAAGAAGCTTTAAAAAATAGAGAGAACATTGTTTCCATCACTCAACAACAGAATGAGGAACTGTCTACCCAACTGCAGCAAGCTCTGACAGATCGAGCAAACATGGAATTAGAGCTTCAGCATGCCATGGAGGCCTCCCAAGCGGCCAATGACAAAGTGCAGAAGTAAGTAAAATGATCTTGCATGATTTCAAAAGCATGAAAAAAAACAAAACAAGAACACTTTTTTTGCAACTAAATAATAGATTATCTATTAGTCATGCTGTTAATGGTTTCAGACAAAAGTAGATTGAGCCAAATGACCTTTTTTATTTTTTAGATTGCCTATCATACCCATAGTTGGGGTCAAAAAGGCATTCACTTGGGAATCATGGTTACTATTGAGGGCAAACCACTTTTATTTAATAACTGATCTTCATTAGTTCCTGGAAGCCATACTATTAAAATCCTTTCATAGGTAATAGGTAAAATTATTGGCAAGGGGATGAGGCATTCAAATAATCAACTTTACTCATTTAGCTTCGTGATAATCCTGCTTCAGTTGAGATCTTCTGTGATTTTGTAATCTGAGACCTCTAGGCACATAGAATAGTTACAGTGGAATTAATTTTCTTGTGTTGTTCTTCTGAAGTATTCAGGACAGCTTTTCACGGTGTATAATTACATTTGTTTATTTTCTATGATCTTTGCATAATTGTTATATATTAAATAAAGCTACAAAATCAATCAGTCCTTACGATAGCTAGCAAAATGTTAACATAGGACATATCATACAAAGAAGTCACTTGTTAATTTAAGGGACTTGAACACTGTAGCAGAATTTCCTAAGGCAGCTTTAATGGAATGGAACTTGTCATTTTAACTGATCCCATCTTTATGTATTGTTAACAGCATTTTGTCATTCACACACTTAATTGCCTTCAATTCCTAAGACATACCTTTTTCCTTAATTTTTTTCAGTCTCACAGTATGAAGTAGTGCTAACTTCAAAGTTTCTTACTTCATACTACTTTTTATTTGAAAATAAATCATCTCAACCATTTCCCCAATATCCCTGAAATTATGTTTTGAATGGTAGCCCAAGGTCAGGTAAATCTGTAGTTAAGAACCATTTTAAAACAGATTAGGAATTATGCATATTAAAATCTTTACATAATCAAGGTACCTTGAAATTTATGATTTATGGTAAGTATTCTGTTTTTTGTAGGTTTAAAGATTAGGTTTATGTTCAGTCAGAAACTATATCCAGTTATTCACAATGTACATTAACATTCTAAAAACACTAAGATACATAGGTGGATCTCATTTCATTGTAAATTACAAATCAGCAACTTTTGACAGTCAGGATATGTTAGCTGTATTTGCTTAAAGTCTACAAATAATTACAAATATCAAAGTTTTCTTTACATGTAATTCTTTAATTTTATATACAAGATTAAAATTCCCTAAAACAGTGTTTCCCAGAGACCAATAAAATTCCATAAAATCTTTGGAAATGTTGTCAACCTTTTATTTTTTAGATCTCATCAACTATTATTATTATTTTGTAAAAAATAATCTAAAAAAAAACTTTGTATTGATACAGAAATATATCAGTATTGAAGTGGAAATATCATCTCAGGTAATGCTTTAAGTTGAATAAGTTTAGCCTTTGAAAAACTACTATCTTGTCTTATTCTTCACATTTAACCATGGACAGATCAAAAGGTTTTAATGGAATGACACCAATCATTGGACAGAGTTTAAGTGAAACAGTTGTGTCATTTAAATGTTAAATTTAAATGTTGAATCTTTTATTCTGATTTCCAGCAATAAGCCCTAGATGAAATATGATGAGGCTTTCCTGTTCATATTCAATCTGCTATATTTTTAATTGCCCTCACTTGGGCAGTGTACCTTCACTGCAGTTAATGTGGGCATCAACCTATTTTTTTGCATTTAAGAGGAAAACCTTCCAGGAAACCAACTTAAAAGACTTTGTTAGATGGTATTATATTCTCCATATCATCTGAAATTACTGTTATTAGCAATTATTTTTGAAGGTCCTTTGTAAATATGTCAGTATTCCAGGCAGTAATTACAATGTGAACTAAAAAGGTACACTTTTCCTTTCACAATGAAATTTCTTGAATAACTGATCTATATTCAGTATCTAATTTTTCAATTCCATTTATTCCTGTGCTATTCAGTACACTCTGGCTAGCTTTTATACTGAAATTGTTCTTTTTAAGATTACCAGTAATTTCCTAACTATTAATCAGTGGCCCATTTTTAATTATATTTTTATTATAAAATTAACATATGATCATGGTAAACAATAAGTAAAGATGCTCCCATATCTTCAGTAATATAGCATAGTGGTTTAAAAGCTCAGGATCTGGATTCAAAATGCATAGGTATGTGAACTTGTACATTTTATTTTATTTTAAAACACTGTGCAAATGCAGATAATAACATATGGATAATAATACTCCCACCTCATAATGTTGTAAGAATTAGATGAGATAAACATGTAATGCCTTTAGAACAATGCGTGTTGCATCGTCCCTTCTTCTCTTGCCATTTCACTCCACACTGTAATATCCCATTCTTCAGAAGGGCTCTATCTTTTCAAGACTAAATACCTTTACATATGTGGGTTCCTCTGGTTGGAGCCTTTTACCCTTTTCCCCCATGAAAAACTTACTCATCCTATGAGATTCAGTGCAGCAGAGAGGATGGAGGCAGGCTTTGTAGTCAAGTCAGACAGACGTGTATTTCAATCCCTGCTTTCCTACTTACTACCTGTGAGATTTGGGGCAAATTACTTAACCTCTGGAAGCAAAAGTTCCCCAGTTGAAAAATTCAGACAGTATTACTGCTTTCACAGGCAGGTTTGATATGAGTAATAAACTGGATACCATGTAAGATACCTAGTTCAGTGCCAGTTATTTTATTATCAGCATGTTATAAATTATATTATTAGTATAATCATACTCATCAAACTAGCAAGACTAGTTCAAATATCTCTTCTCTACAAAGTCTTCTTCAACTTTCCGGAAAGTTAAATATCACTCTCTTCTCTGTGTTTTCATAGTATGTTTGTTAAAAATTCCTCCCCTGAAAATAAAGCCTTCACCATTTTCCTGTGTCTCCTGTCTCAGTAATGGTCTTCAGCAGTTTCAGCACCATCCTTATTCCCTCACTCTTTCTTACTTTTCACATTCGCTTTGCTGTCAGTCTCTGTTTTCTGTACTGCCTATCATCTGATTCCCTCTATTCCATCCTCCCTTGTTAATTGCATTATTTCAGGCCCTCATCATCCTCCATGGAGACTATTGAAATAATCATAAAACTAGTTTATCTGCCTCTAGCTCTCAAGTGTCTCAAGTGTGTCAAGTGTGTCGCTGCCACTAGAGTTAATTTTTCTACAACTGAAATCAGGTTATATTACTTCCCTATTTAAAATCTTTCAGGGGCCCTTCATCCCCTACACACTATAGCATAAACGACTTAGCAGGGTAGATGAGGCCTTTCACCTTTCTGGCCTTCTCCCATTTTCTGGTATCATTTCCTCCACGACCCCAACCACAGTATCTCTACTAGACAAGCTATTTCTTCTTCTTAAAGCATATTCCTCCCTTCTAGTACCTAGCCAAATATTTGTTACTCCTTAAAGTCCAGTCTTAACATTACCTCTGTGATGTTTCTTTATTTTTTTATTTTTTTCATAGCACTTAGTCCATTATCTTTGTTAGAAGTCTTAATCATCTAGGTGTTACAATTGCTTTGTTTGTCTGTTTCCTATCTACTTCACTCCCTGCAAAATTACCCATCACTGAGCATTTCCAAGACATGGATGGTGTTCTCTTCATCTTTGTATCCACATCTCCTCCAAATAGTCACGTAGATGCCTGCTGTAAAGTAGGTACTCTGTAAACATGAACAAATGAACTAGAGCAACTTAATAGGTTAATGGGATGACAGAATAAAGTAAAAGCAGGTCAGGTCAGGAATATACAGGAAAATTTCAAATGTGCTCTCATCTACTTTAGGCCCTAGATAAAAAATTTTTATCCCAACCCAGTACCCAATTTTAGTAGGAGAGTTTCATAGAAAAGTATGACTTTTGTGGCTAGTCCTTCCTGCCTCCCTCACTGGCACCACCACTCCTATAGTATCTGACTTTCTAGTGGGCTTTTCACCCTTGTCCTATGCACCAGCTTCCATCACATTTAATTACACTGAAAAGATCTGAAATCTTCAGTAATAGTGGAGAGAGAGTATATACTATTTCTAATAATTTTAAATTTATATTTTATTTTATTTTATTTTATTTTAGAGTCAAATGAATTTCTTAAAATTTTTTAAATATAGGAGTATTCCTGAAGAGGAAAGTGGTGCAGAATTACCATCCATAAGCTAGCCAATATGCAGAAACACTGATAGGGGAAAGTATAAAGAATGCCAGACCTCATTGTCCAAAAATTGCTTCTTGGCCCAGGCGTCATAAAGCCTAAAATTTCACCAGTGGAAATCTATTCCCTTGGGTTAAGCAAGCTTGAGGTACTTCTCTTTTAAAAATGTGTATGTTTGTGGAAGGAGAACACATTGCCATTTAGGTTTTAGGTTGCTTTTTGGCTGACCCTGGATGCACTTAGTTTTGGTGAGCTATGTGGAAGTAGAGGGAACCAAAGAGCAGGTTAAGAGCTTAGGAACTTTATAAGAGAAACTTCTCTTAATGATTCTGCCAAGGGCCATCCATAATCCTTGTTTATTAAAGAGAAAACTGACACACAAATCCATTAAGTGATATTTTTATCATCACAAGAGATTTAAAACTCTGTTGTTCTTTATGCTATATTTTATTTCCCATCTTTCTATCTATAGATATGCTTCTTGTGGCCCAGAACAACAGTTTTCTGAAGGATCTTAAAAACATATTTGACTATAGTTAACATACCTGAGCTACACATAATTACTTAAAAGTATTTACAACCAGGCTTATAAGGTTAGAAGATCTCAGAAGCTTCCAGATTTTACAGTAAAGTAACTTTTGTCACATAATCATCTTTACTATGGGCCAGATTTACACTGATATGATTCAAATCCCTCATAAACCATAACTATATAATAAGTAGATCAGACAAAAAGATACAGGACAAAAATTCTAAACTTTTAAACAT